GCTCGCTTCACTCACAAATAACGCACCCCGCGAATTCTGAAAGCTTCGCTAAATTCCTCCGAGTTCAGCTTGCCCCCTGCGTTTTCGTTTCGACCCCCCCTTAGATTTTTCACCGTACGCCCCTGCTCAGTTGAAGTCTCGTTATATTTACAAAACAAACAAAAATCAGGCCCAACTAATGCACTGCAGACCCACCCAGACACAGACATTTTCAAACATATCTGCTTTATAGCATTATTTAGACCCATAAAGCACAAAAATCTTCTTGATTTGGAGGTTTCGCCGACCACACTGGGCTTCAACTGTGGACCTCACGCACATCTAGATGTGTATAAGAGACAGCCTTGGAAGAACCTGGCTACGGGCCTAAAAATAGATAACAATAGTAAATGTGTTTTAATATCAAATCGTCAAATAACACGTCCACACTGTGCAAAGAACAAAAGACCGCAAAATTGATTCTTTTTCTGTTATATACCGGTACCGGTACTCTTTGTTCTTTATGGTGCGCTGAAATTGGTTGCTTGTCGCTGTGCATAACAACACCGCTTTTATTGTATACACAGCCGCTGTACGTATAGCCAGTCCCATAATAATTATAAACCTAATCCGAATAAAAAGAAATCGAGTTTTTTAATTAGGTATGGCGCGCACTAAGTGCAATAAAGAGTGAGTAACCCAAAATTAGGGCCTGGAACCCAGGCTAAGCTTAGGCCTACCACGAGTGCGGAATGCCTGCCAGTCAATTCGAACGAATGCCAGTTCGAGCGGACACCAGTTCGGGCGGATACCGGTTCGAGCGGATGCATTTTGAGTCCACTCATTCTCCACTCACAGACTTTAATGCGTTCCGCTCGACGACAGAACGCCCTCTACAAGCTGTGATGGATAAACTTTTTAACTTGTTAGTTCCATCCTCATGCGAGCGCAATGGCAAGCAGATCAGGGTCGCGGTGTTCGGCTATTAATTGCTCCAGTAATTCACCTTGAGTATATTTCCCGCACGATTAAAATCGTAACGGTACTGGTTTGGTCTACAGGAGCTCGTGCTTCGTACAGGTCATTCCATTCATAGAAAAAGACATTTTATTTCGAAAACGTACTTGTCGTTAGCCATAGTAGTAGCCTGGTCAATGCTAACTCCGGCTATGTAAAATTGATTATAAGATTGAAAAATATCAACCTTATTATTGTAGTAGTGACACTATGACCAAGTTTTAATTATTGTTATTTATTCGTTAACGTTATTATAAGTTTAATGTATTGTCTAAGTATGAATTACTACGTCCATGTTAAATTAATCTTATTTATTAAAAGTTTATATTAAAATAATATAGTAATAGGCATGGCCGGGGCCTAGCCTAGGCCTAAATCTAGTGACTATGTGTGTAGTGTATAAAATTATGAATAAAAAGTATGAATAAACGCAAATTGTGAAAGAGTAAAGGAAGAAGGAAAAATAAGAAAGAGATTTGAGCGGCTGAAATATTTCCGATAATAAACAATAGTAGTCAATATGCCATTATTGCATTACGTTTAAAAAAAAAATTGGCACTAATCGTCAGAGGTCTCGGTGCCACAGCCTAAACTTTTCATAATTCGACATCTCTATCCTATTCTTCCTTATTCCTTTATTCTTTCACAATCACTTATAAACTCCCAGGTTTTTTGCTTTTATCAAACATTCAAAATGCTATCGTGATTTAAACTAAACTGTCTAAAAACCCACAATACATAGCATATTTCCCAATAATGTTATTCTTGTCCTACCTTTATATTTCGTTTAAAAACGGATATAATAATTTGACTTTATGCACTCTTTTCAAAATACAAGTCTTAAATTACTGTTTTTATATGCTGCCTTCACTCGTCGAATACGGTATACTTTCATTTGTTTTAAATGCAAAAATGCTAGATGGCCGTTAATAAGCACTTAACAAGGGCGGATTTAGAGGGGGTGGCAGGCTGGCCCCTTGGAAAGTAAAAAAGAAAAAGTAAGGAAGAAACAGAAGTAATTGATCGCCCAAACCGCCTCAGAGGTTATTTTTTGGAGTCTAGTGCTGTTTCCATCGCCCCCCCCCCCACTCACCTTTCGGACATCTCTGGATCCGGCCATGCTTAAGAAATGCAAATGCACAGTATTGTATTTTTAATAGATATATAGCAGACGAAACGTTGCTGTTGTGTTTCAGAAGAATCTCAGTCATCCAGCCCAGGGGCCGAATTTATCAAACTAGAAATTAGCTTAAATTCATCTTAAGTCCATTGTTTTAAGTCAGATTTATCAAATATTGCTAGCTTAAAAATTGAAAATTAAAAAGGCGATTGTACGCGTGCGCCATCTAGGATGATCTCTAAGCCAAGATTTTGCTAAGATAGCTTGATAAATCAGCACATCTTTTCAGAAGAATCTCAGTCATCCAGCCCAGGGGCCGAATTTATCAAACTAGAAATTAGCTTAAATTCATCTTAAGTCCATTGTTTTAAGTCAGATTTATCAAATATTGCTAGCTTAAAAATTGAAAATTAAAAAGGCGATTGTACGCGTGCGCCATCTAGGATGATCTCTAAGCCAAGATTTTGCTAAGATAGCTTGATAAATCAGCTAAAGTTATTTGCTTAGGGACATCTTAATTTTTTAGACTTTGCTAAGCTGAGCCGCGACCAAAAAAAAAAAGAAAAAAAAAAAAAGAATAGCAATCTAAAGTGTGACGTAATTATATACGTCTCTGGAATCTAGTGCTTCTTGTATTGTCTTGTTGTAATTGTATTTCTTTAATGTTGTTTTATCAAGATGTTTGATGTATCATAAAGTAACAATATACGCATACGTATAGCGTAGAAAATTTGGATGACTGATAGATTCTCCCACAAAGCTCCTTTCTCGTCTGAAAAATAATAAATGTCGCCCTCATACAGATGTTCCAAACAATTTTAATATTTATTGGTAAATGCAGCTTTAATTGAATTTATGACCTGAGTTCTCATAGCTAATTGATAAACGTGCCTCAACTTTTTGAGTCATTAAAGAATTGGGAGGCCTAAACTGACCCAATGAGTTATTCATCTGGTACCGAAAACATATAGGCACCGGGATGGGCACACCACCAAGATTACTTTTGAACAACTCATATTTTATTGCCATAAAAGCTCTTTTAATCTTATTATGATCTAATGCTTATGGTATAATATACACAGTGTAATTAAATCGTAGTATATACGTTTCTGTATTAAAAATATTTATAAAAAAAACAAGATATGTCAGTGTAAGAGATTGAGTGATAACACGACAGCAGCTAAATTTTTTGTTAGTGCATGGTGCATGTTCTTAAGTAGTTTGAACATACAAAGTGCAGAGAATTGTACTTTAGGTTTCTTTTTACCTTTTGTAAGGCTTTGGATACAAGTGTTATCATTGAACCCCCGCAGTTTCACCCTGCTTCAACTTTTTAATTTACTCGAAGTACTGGTCTTCCAAAGTTCAATGTAATGACTAGACTCCTGTTCTTTCTGCGTTATGACGTCATCTTTTAGATTGTTCGTTAAAACATTGACGGCATCAATTGGTATCCCATTACAGATAACGCTAAATTTTTCCTCTGTTACGTTAATAAAAGGTTCTGATCTTGATCTTCTTAATATCTTTCTGTTTGGTAACTTTGGAGGCATAACCTTTGGTCGCCTAGAAAAGGGTCCTTGTTTGTCAAGGATGCCGCCCTCAACGTTCTTTTGTAGCGATGAGGTCGTTTCATTTGCTTCTCTCCTGGATCTGATGTCATTGATAGCTGTCGGCACTAAGTAGCCTTCATTATCCACATCATCTTTCTGATTGTCGTCATCAATTGATATCCCTCTACAGATGACGCTAAATTTTTCCTCTGTTACGTTAATAAAAGGTTCTGATCTTGATCTTCTTAATATCTTTCTGTTTGGTAACTTTGGAGGCATTACCTTTGGTCGCCTACAAGGGGGTCCTTGTTTGTCAAGGATGCCGCCCTCAATGTTCTTTTGTAGCAATGAGGTCGTATCTTTGGCTTCTCTTCTGGATCTGATGTCATTGACAGCTGCCGGCATTAAGTAGCCTTCATTATCCATATCATCTTTCTGATTGTCTGCTGGTTTTTTGTTACTTTATTAAAACAAAATACTTTAAATTATAAGCATATATTATTACTAATTTAAAAAAAAACTGATGATAATGATGACGATGATAGTAAAGCTTATGGCGATGGTGACGATGAAGAATGTCTGATGACAGTGATGATGATGATGATAATAATAATAACTAGAAATTGCAAATTGCAAGTGAAGTGCTGCGAAGTACAACTGCATTATATGTTCTTCGAACAAAATTATTTATGCGAGTCAAGTGAAAATAATGAATAATAAAAATATAACAAATAATATGAGCACGACCCATTGTCTATATATTATTAGAACAGCGTTGGTACAATAGTGTTTTTCTCTTATACACATCTAGATGTGTATAAGAGCCAGGTTCCAAGCTATTAAATAGTTT